AACTGAATGTCCCTGCTCTCAAGGCTCTCCTAGCCTGCAGCACTGATATGTAAGGAGAAAACTTGTTAGTGGAATCACACGGAGACATCACCACTTTCTTAGCACAACAGTCAATCATCACACAATTCTTGGACAACCAGTCCATGCCAAGGATGATCTCCAAATTAGCCATCAATAATCCCATCAGATCTTTCGAGTACTCGCGGCCATCCCACTGAAATACGACATCGTGATGTACAGCGGAGGTATAACATTTTTCTCTGGTGGCGATAGTCACCCGCAACGGTGTAGAAAGCACAGAAATAGGCAACTCAAGCCCCACAGCAATCGGGGTCGCGATGAAAGAATGCGTAGCTCTGGAATCAAACAATACATCAATTGCGGAACCACCAATGGAAATAGTACCTCTCACAAGGTTCGGAGCTCTATCTGACTGTTGGTGATCCAATGTATACACTCGGCCTGTGGCTGGTGGCACAACATGTGCCGCTGTAGGTGGAGTAGGGATCATCTGAAGAGGAATCACATGTACTGCTGCAGCTCTAGAAGCTGACGAAGGACAATCTCTGGCATAGTGGCCCTCCTTGCCACAATGGAAATAAATGAGCTGACTGGTGGCACACGGCCCAACATGCGATCTCCCGCATCCGGTACACCTAGGAGTACTGGGAGGGCTAGCTGCACTCCCTTGAGTTGAAGTCCTCTTGAACTGATTCGGTGCCTGCCTAGTAGATAACTGCTTCCTTTTTCCCTTTCCTCCAAACTTCTCGTCTCTCCAAGAAGTGAAACTACCAGCTCCATTTACATCAGATATATTGGCCTTTTTGGCCTTGCTCACCATACATACGTTCTCAATATCACGGCACTGCTGAACTAATGTGCCAAAGTCTCGGGATGTCGCTCCCACTATCCTGTCTGCTATGTCCTCATTAAGTCCCCTACAGAACTTAGAAGCCAAGAATGCCAGTGTAGGCATAGCAATCCCGAAGTGTGCAAATTTGGCCAATTCATTGAACTTAGCCAAGTACTCATCAACCGACATCGAGCCCTGTACCAACCGCTCGAACTCCTAAGTCAAGGAAAACGTATCAACCCCTACGGTCTAGGGTTAGCTTTTTCCGAAATAGGGAATCTTCATTTATGGACTCTAAAGAGTGGGCCATCTCATGACTCCTTTACTATGCATAGATTCCTGAGTCCCGAAAATTTCATCTCGGTTTAACCGTTCTACGGATAACCTAATCTCTCATAGAGATTGACGAATTCCTTTAGCTCGTCACACTAGCCTGAGTCCTTAGGGCATGCCCAATAGTATACCTACGAGTCTCCATGTTTCAGGCATACAAGATATACAATCAAAGCAAGCCTTCCAGAGCACAGGTCTATATGACAACGTCAGGTCTGAGGAAAGATACACCCGGATAATAAGAGACATTACATATTGATACTATCTGTGAGATTTTCTTGTAGTGTCTCTTTGTGGGTCAATTCAGTGCGAGCTATTCTCTAATAGGTCCACCCACGAGTTAGCTAAGACATCTCCATGTCTGTAGCTCACGAGGACTCTACCTTGCATCTCCATGCAAGTAGCTGAGTCGTGCTAGTCTTACCCGAGATCACTAATGCCCATTATCGGTATATCTAGACTAGGAACATATTTCTAGCAATGGACGTGTGGTGTCATTGAGCCCTCATGATTATGATCCCTATCACAAATCCTCAATGTGACATTCATTCCATTTCAAGGGCTTTATCCAGTTACTCATATTCAATATTTGAGACATGCAATATGAAACAAGATAAATAATGCTTTTATTCATAAAATATATTCATAACAAATAAAGAAGTACATTGGTCCATTTGACTCTCAGATTGTCTCTAGTACACCTATATACTAACACCTGCAATACTAATATTATCTTAGTTATGCACTATGCAAGGAATTTTGATTTGATTTATATTCAGAGATGTCATTTACTGAACCTGAAACGTCAATATCACAAGTATTATATGTTTGTTTGATCCTTTATTAGTCAATAATGTATAGTTTATTATTTTTATATTAAAATATTTAGAATTTATATTATTATATTTAATTTTTTGAGTATGTTTATAATTTTTAATATAAATTATAGATTTATGTATAATCATTAGGACATGCGGTTCAACTAGTGATCCACTCGCTGAATCAGTGACTCAATAACTTAATACCTCGATCGAATTAATAATCGGACTGGTTTTAATAATATTCGTTTAGATAGATTGTATTAGGTTATGAGTTACCTGGAAAAAAAAATATGCATCACCATTGGTGGCTTATAAGACTATATTATGTGTTAATTTAAATAACAATTATTTTTTAATAAAATTATCACTTTTATTGAAATTATAAGTATTGCAAGTTATTGTTTTAATAAACTTTAATTTTAATTAAAAAAATGCATTGACTTGATTTGGAGTCATCTAACTTGATTGCCCCCGTGTTGATTTTTCAAATATTTCATGACTTGACTTTGAATCGTGGCCACATTCTGATTCCGAGATTTGACGTGTAGAGCCGTAGACAAAATTCGTGGGCATTTTCTGTCTGATCACTAACTGAGTCTTGAAGTATATATCTCTTCTTATCATTATTATTTTCTGAACAAATAAGTATAGTCACAGCTTTCTCCAAAAATAATTACAACTCCTTTTTTAAAAAAACCAAAATTACAACTCTTTAATTTCATTGTTATATGTTAATTTTTCATTTGTCGGAGAGAACTGTTACATCTTAAAATTGAATGTATCCGGATCCGAAAGATAATTTAGAGCATATTTAGATACTCTTTTTTAAATTAAAAGCTACTTATAAATTAAAATTTAAAAAAAAAGTTTAAAAAAAAAAGCTAAAAGTTGTTTGGTGATTAAATAAATTTTTTAGCTTAAAATCACATATTTTAATAAAATTCTCTCTCTAACTCTATAGCTCTTAATTAAAAAAAAAAAACACAATTCAAAAGCAAACTGCGACGGAATTTACAAGGGAAAAACAATTGCGAGGGAAAATAGGCAAGATTTCCGTTACTACATTGCCGTCGCAGAATCCCTTGCAGTTCGGTCGCAATTCCCTCGCAATTTGCAAGGGAAATCGAATCCCTCGTAAGAATCATAAGTCTGTGACGGAAACAGCGAGGGAAAAAATTGGCGACGGAAGTTCCCTCGCAAAATTTAGGATCTGAAAATTGCAACTGAAAATTCACAATTTCCCTCACAAATTCCCTCGCAAATTGCGAGGGAATAAATTCTCTCTCAAATTCCCTTGCAAATTGCGAGGGAATATATTCCCTCCCAAATTATGAGGGAAAGAGGGAATATATTCCCTCACAAAATTCAAGAATAATATATAAATCAAATTTAAAAGGGACAAGGGCATAAATTGGTCGCCGCATCATGCGTATGAGAAAAAATCATTAAATATGTCATCGCATCCTTTATGGCAGACATTGAGTGCATGTAGTGACAGCAGTGCCTATATCAGCTAGTCATAGGAAAGATAAGACTCTGTTGATATTTAAGGTGTGTGTAAAAATTGTTCAATAGTGACAAGCAGAGAAAAATGTCTGAAAGATTCCTGTTCCAACCACCCTCGTCGTCATTACTGTACAAATTAAATGAAAAGTGACACATGCTTTTGATCGATGCTACCAAAAAGGGCATTGGTCTTTGTAGTTGGGCTTTAACCACTTAATTAAAAGTCAAGTCCAGCCCAATAAAGAAAGCTAGGGTTCCAAATTCAAGATGTTCAGCAGCCTTTTGAACGTGCGTGAATAACATAAACCCTAAACCCTAACTTTGATCAATTCTAGGACTATGGTCCCCACTTTAGCCCCTTGTAAAAAAATTAGTCTTGAGGTCCCTAACTTTGAATGTGTGTAAGTAGCATTTTGATGATAAGAGAGTATGGAAATCAGTCACGAGTAAAGAAAAGAGGGAGATAACCATTTTAGAAAATATGCTAATTTAAGATAATAAAGAGCAATCTTTGATTATTCTTCGATATCTCCTTCATTTACCATCTGATCGTACTGGGATTTTTTTGACATATTCTTGACTCATTATTATTCATACCTAATGGTGGCTTTTATATTTATTTTTACCTTTGTATGATTATGATTTCTTATATTTAATGTGAATATGAGGAATCATAACCATACATAGATGAAAATAAATATAACTGTTGGATCAACATAATCGATCTAATTGTTTGGTTTAGGGTACAACTTGTGACTCCAACCCTCAGAGGAAAGGGGTCAAGGTTGACCCGGGTCGACCCGGGGGGCTGGGGTGGGGTTTTAAAACACTGCTTTATATGATGAGGAGGAAACAGAAACAGAAAACACATGAATATATTCTTAATTTCTATTTTCTCTTCATATGGCCCCATATTTTCATATCAGTATATGTGATCAAATTATCTTGTACAATATGAATAATATTAACCTCACACACACACATATAATTTTAAATTTTGACAATCCTATGTTTACCAAAAAAAAAGTTGGCGAAATTTTTAAATTTAGAAATTTCATAGTCATTTGCGAGGGAAAGTAGTTAAGTTTGAAGATTTCTTATAACCATTGTGAGTGTAAGACTCACATGATGAAATGATATTTTCTTTAATTTCTGCTACAGAATAATATGATTGTTCGTTTTTATTTAATTATATTAGTATTTTTCTATTTCACTATAATTGTGAATTTTATTAATAAAATAATTTTTATTATTTAATTTTCTATTTTTGATATTTATATTCTATTGAATATATATATATATATATATATATATACATTCTTTTTTATAGTCTTTATTCTTATTATTTTTGAGTATTATTAATATTATATCCTATGTATTTTATTTTTTAATTTAATATTTGTTTTTGTTTAGGTATTGTGTAAATTTTTTTTTGTTTAGGTGTTAGGTTAAAAAATCCCTCTCTTTTTTTCCCTTTGGCTCTCGCTCTCACTTTCACTTTCACTGCATCCTTCCTCCAATTTTTCCTCTCCCACTCACCTCTTTGAGACTCTCACGGTATTGCTCAGGCGAAGAGTGTCACGGAAGTTGAGAAGAGATTGCTAGGGTGGGTCGACGGTTTAGTGCTCTCGCTTGTTCTGTTTTCTTCTCTCTCGCTTGTTCAGTTCGTGCTCTCAGAAGATTTGTCCCAGCAGAGGTACGCATTCCTGCCAGAGGTACAAAAAGGTGAAATTTCAACCCTCATATATCAACACATTATCTTAAACTCTTTTCTTCTCCGATCTCTCTCTCTTTTAACTCTGCATTATTGGACAATCTAACGGCTGAAGTTGGGTTTTCATGGCGGGAGCTAGGTTTTCAAATTTCAAGGCAGGAGTTGTTACTGAGGTAAATCCCGATTTCATGCTTCCTTCATTGCTTCGATCTTTTTGTATTCTCTCTTCCTTTCGAGGTGTCGATCTTTGAGTCTTGCCTTTGGTATATATGAAATTCACTGGAACGCCTGGGTTTGTTGCATTTCTTTTCTTTTCTTTTCAGGAGCTGGGTGTGTTGTTAATTTTTCTTTTCTGATTGGGAATTGGGGTTTCGATCAGAAAATCTTTTATCAATTTTTGTCTGCGATTTTTTTGTTCTTGTTTGATTTTTGGTGAATATCTATCTGTTTTGGTGTTTGGTCTTGTGGAAAAATCAAACTCTGAAGTTAGATTGTAGCTTGCGTTTTGCACAATTAGAATTTCTGATTGCAATTTTCTTTTGAAGGCATTTACTTGAATTTTATTCTGAAGTATAGAAAACCTCAAGGCATTTCATCATCTAAGTTGTCGGCTGAACGCTGCAAGCTTTGAAGTAATTTGAAGTAAGTTCTGAGTCCCACTGCTACCCTTGTTTTCATCTGTTGCTTTTTATTTTATTTATTTTTTCTCACTTTAGGGTTTATATATATATATATATAGATCTTCGTTTTCATTTTTTCTCTGCATATATATATATATATATATATGTTATTTCGTGCTTTTTCTGCTTCTACCTCTGTTTAGTAATTTTCTTTGCTTTTGTTTCTATTCCTTAATTAGCTTATTCGTTAATCTATAAGAGGTAGCTGGAGAAGGAAATATAGTTTGATGAATGATAAAATATTTCGAAAAATCTGAACAATTATGCGTTTGTAATTATTGCTTGCTAAGGAAAGTATTTTTGGGTGTGTTGCTGTGGCATTCTCTTAAACAAAAGCAAGTTAATTTGAAGAGGACTTGCTAGTGCTCATGCTTGCTGCAATTTCTAACCGATTTCACCAAGATTTATCTTTAGCATATTGGATTAAAAGTAGGTTTTGGTTTGGTTCTCTGATCTAAAAGCTGAGGAAAGGAATTAACATATAGTGTAATAAAAATATAGTATCATCTACGGATAAGAACTTACGCGCAAAGGGGAAAATTAGGCTTTGTTTGATTGGGTGTAGTGAAGGAACTATATTTGTTAGTTACTGTTGTAATCATGGAAAAGACATCCCCAATTGCTAGGAGCAGTAACTTTCCACCCTCAAATGCTACAAATCGGAACAGAATCAGCTGTGTCCTTATCTAGATGAATACCATAGCAAAAAATTTCAGTAGGTAATCAATTTTTTTAGACATCATTACAGAAGATTCTATAACTGCCTAACAAACTTTGTGTTACCCGTTTGTACTAAACAAACTTTGTGTTATCCGGTAGAACAAAAAGTAAACAGTTAATCGAAACAGAAACAAGAATATTAAGTTCAAAATTAGAAATTTTAAGGATGAGAAGAAAAAACAAAAAAAAAAAAAAAACAGTTCCATTTTTTAACCAAAATAAAATAAAATACAAGGGATAAATGTTGAACTAACTACAATTCGATAAAACTGCACACCCTTGCAATCAGCCATGAAACTAGGAGATATAAAAGATGGCAAATCATTGAATAAGTGCATCCCCAAAGGAAAGAAACGGCTCGTACAGGAATGTGCCTCCTTAAAATGTAACTATAGCACATATAGAGTGGTTATTTGTAACAACAATTCTTCATGATTCCATTTTAGTTATTATTAAATCGATACTAATTAATTACAATTGCTATTAATTAAGATTTATTGTATTTATTGCATTATTGTATTCAATTATATTTATTTTAATCAATTAGGATTAAACTCATATCAATTAATTGTTACTGATATCAATTAAGATTATATATAATCAATTAGATTAGGCTGATATCAATCGATTGAGATTGATATCAATTAAGATTATGACTATTTATTATCCTTAACGTTTTATCGTATTATTTATGTTATAAAGACATGTGATTGTTATCCAAAAAAAAAGACATGTGATTGAATGAAATAAAAGAAAGAGAAAAATGTTATATCATCTAAATCAATCTCTCATTCTTGTATTTTTCTCCTCCTATGTCAATTATTCTGTCTCCATCTATCACAATTATCCTATTTTTTTCATCATATGCACATTTCAAAAGGGTCCCTTTTTTTCATCATATCGAATCTATCCACCCTCAAACTTTCACTTTCTGGACCATAAGCATGATTATGTAGTTGCTTACGTTCTGCTTTTACAGCTATAAAACAAAGATGAGGATATATGCTTAAACTACAAAGTAATATATTGCTTAGGTTTCTAAATCAAATTAAACTTAACCATATCAAATCAATTATAATTCATAAAGATTAAATTATTTTCAATTAATTATTTCAATATAAGAATTTCTTTTTGACAGCTGAACTATTATCATTCTTATATTTATTCATATACATACTATATTATCTTTTAATAACAAATGGTTGGCTTATTTGGCGCAGTTGGAGACATTTCGCCAGATATTCTCTTGTGCACATTTATATCGACCGTTCGCTGAGATTTTTTACTTCAGGTCTTTCAGGTAACAAATTTTGAATGAAAAATAATTGCATGCTTGTATTGTGATGACATAGCTGCATATATGTAATGCCCCATTTGCATAGTATGTCCCCCTTATCTTGTGTACTTTCCCATTCTTTGTTTGCTCCCCCTAAATGCATGTCCCCATTTTCTGGTTTACTACCCCCATTCTCTGGTTGCTTGCTGGAGTTGTTGAATGCTTGTGTTTGTTTGCCACTTACTGCAGTAAGTTGCATCATATATGTGGCAATTACTCGATGTTTGTTGGTATTTGAATTCCACACTTACTATAGAATCAGGAGTATGGAAGACGATCATGATAGGAGTTGGATGTACAATTGTCTAACTGATAGAAGACAACTAACTTGAACATTCTTGGAGGGTTTGGAAACGTTCATCCAATATGCTAGCCGACTGAAGCCTAGTAAGCTCTACCCAGGTTGACAGTGTTTCTGCAGGTAAACTCAATGCATAGTTAATTCTTTTATGTTTTCAATCTCTATTCTATTAATATTTTATTTTAAACATTTAACTTACTGTTTTATAATAATGTATTTGCAGATGAGCTTAAAAGGATGAAGGTGTCTCACTCCCAGATTCAGGAGCAATTGCATGTTACGAAGGAGCAATTACATGCTACGACAGAGCAGCTAACTCAGCAAGCGGACTTTATGAAGCAGCAAGCTGACATTATGAAACAAATGCAGGAACAACTCCGACTTTTAATGCAGGACAAGGAAGCCAACTGCAACAAGTCGAAGGGACCGGCGCCGGATGATGACCCTGATGATGATGACGACTTTGCTAGGACTTTAGAGGCATACTAGTTGTTTGTATGTTTTACTTCTTTTAGGACTTCAGATATATCAGATATTTTTTGTATGTTTTATTTTTTTTACAACTTTAAAGACATTTTAGTTGTAGATTTGATAGTTGTTGTTGTTCACTTTTGTTGATATACTATTTAATTTTAATTTAATTGTTTATCCAGTATTTTCTTGGATTTCTCTTGCTCAATTTATGTATTTTATGTTCATTTGGAATCCTTGTTGTTTACAGGGAAATTAACAAAAGTTTAATACATTTTTTTATTTTAATTCCAGAATTCGTGGTGGAAATTTTCAAAATTCCCTTGCAAAATTCGTAGCCTTTTGCGAGGGAAAATCAAAATGTTCCCTTGCAAAATTCGTAGCATTTTGCGAGGGAAACTCAAAATGTTCCCTTGCAAAACTCGTAGCATTTTGCGAGGGAAACTCAAAAAATTCCCTTGCAAACTTCGTAGTATTTTGCGAGGGAAAATCAAAATGTTCCCTTGCAACTTCTGCTACGGAAATTTGCGAGGGAAATTATACTCGAAATTTCTGTCGCAATCTGCGACGGAAGAACATTGTAGATAGGTCTATTGTTTGCGAGGGAAATTTACTTTTTTTGCAAGGGAATTTTTCCGTAGCAATTTGCGAGGGAATTGTCATATGACAAATTTCCCTTGCAAATCTATTTGCGACGAGGGTTTTAGCGGGGGAGGGTGTTCCCTCGCAAATTCCGTCGCAGACAGTTTTTGCAAGGGAATTTGGCTGTTTTGCAAGGGAATTTTTCCCTTGCTGATTGTGAATTTTCTAGTAGTTCCTTATAAGAGCTTTTGGCTTTGAACTTTTTTTTATTATAAAAAAAGAGCTTTTCATTATAAGATCTTTTTTCAAAATCTTTTAGAGCCTGTTTGGATCTTCTTATTTTTAAGCTAGAAGCTTCTTAAAAGCTAAAGCTAAAAAACAGAGCTTAAAAAAAGAAGCTAAAAGCTGTTTGGAAATTACATAAAAGTTTTAGCTTAAAAATTACTTAAAAGCACATATTTCAAGAAAATTATCTCTCTCTATCTTTATCACTCTTAATTTAAAAAAAAAAACACAATTCAAGAAAAACAGATAAGAGCTTAAAAAAAAGCTCCTCCTAGGAGCTTTTAGTTTTCAGCTTTTTTCTTCATTATAAAAAAAGAGTTTTTTGTTATAAGAGCTTTTCCCAAAACCTGTTTGGCCTAGTTTATGCTTATAAGTAGCTTCTAACTTAAAAAAGAGAGGATCCAAACAGGCACTTAGTCTAACTTTTACTTATAAATAGCTTCTAGCTTAAAAAAAACAAATGATCCAAACAGGCACTTATGCGCATATGCCTTCCATTTATAACATATACTTTGAAGTAGGAATGTAAATGGGTTAGGTACTCTAACAGGAGTGTCAAGAACCAATTCAAGCAAAAAGCTTAAGTTATTGAATGAAGGCTCATAAATAATTTATATATTTTTCTAACACGCCCCCTCACACGAGAACTCACTGGGAACGAAGGGTGGATAATGTTGGATATTTGTTATACCCTAATTGTTTAATTGATTTAAAATATGTTTTGATGATTACAATCAATTTAATGTTAATTTAATTGATAATATTTTATTGTCTTGAAATTATTAATTAACTGATTATTTGAGATTTTAGAATAATATTTATTCTGATTTGAATTAGTATTCAAGATAATTGAAAATTGCATGATGATTGGAGAAGATATCATGAAGAGAGAGAAAAATATAAGATCAAGTAAAGTTTAAGATAAATTTTATCTTGTAGATTTCATGTAAGAGAAATAAAATATTATTTGTCAAAGATTTAATTACGATTGCATTGCATAATAGAATAAGATATTTAAGCTATACATTTTTTTATTCAAAATTGCACGTGCTTATTCTGCTGGTGACGCTGACAATATCTTGGTGGGCGAGTGGTGGGGATAAATAGAAATGCCAACGACTAATTGGGTAGCTAAGCATTATAAATTGCGGATATGTCTTTGTAGTTGGGTCCTTAAGGTGTGCAAAATAACTAAAAAACTGAACTGAATCATGAATCAGACCGAATCGCCCTTAAACTAACTGATTTTTAAAAATTAGTTCATGAACCGAACCGGTTTTTAAAGAATCAGATCATTAATCGAACCGATTTTTAAAACCAGTTTAAGAACCGAACCGAACCGAACCGTTTCCGAACCGAACCAAATTAATTTTTATAACTTTATTTTTTAAATTTTAAATTTTTTTCTTTTCAAAATAGGGTCGATCAGAACCGGTTCCGAACCGAACCGAACCGTTTCCAACCGAACCGAACCAGTTTTGAACCGAATCGAACCATATTCGAACCAAACCATTTAAACCAATTCGTTTCGATTTTTTAAAAAATTCGTTTCGATTTTTCAAAAAATTCGGTTCGGTTCGATCCATACACATCCCTACCCATCTCATTCAGATAAATTTTTTATTTTTTTGAATGGTTGGCGATGATTTTTTTTTTTGGAAACAAAGGGAAAGTAAAAGACAAAACAACAAAACTAAAATACACTAGGCAGTAGGCACAAGCCTAGGCCAGTGAACTCTCATTTGGTCACTCAGCAGACAGTGCAAACAACCAGACGGAGGATCATCAAACAATTGGATAGGGTAAGATAAATTGCTAGCATACGCAGCCAGCGAGTCTGCCACACCATTACCCTCACGGGGAATGTGCAAGATCTTAACATTCCAATCTTTGGCAAGCTGTATCCTGATAAGATGATTTTTTCGAGTTTTCTTTGCATTCTAGTATTTATGTTTTTTAATGCATTTTAAGAAAAATTCACAAAACTAGCCAGTATGCCACCAGCCACCGCCTATCAAACAAGCAGCATCGCTGACTTTTAATGAGAGGGATTTTCCCCCGATCAAATTGCTATTGAAAGTTCGGTTGAGAGATAGGAGTAGCGCTATGCAAGTCAACTGAATTAAATCGAATTGAAGTCAATTTTTCTAAACTAATTTTGAGAATTGGATTAGTTTTATAAAACGGTTTAAAAATAAAATAAAGCTGGTTTGAAAAATTAGAAGAATTGAATTGATTTGTTTTAACTCAAACCGTCACAACCTGTTTAAAATTGATGTAGAACTGATTTACATATCCTAGCAATTTTAAACTGGTTCGGAAGCAGCTATAAATCATAAACTGATTTTGAAGATCATAAGCCGGTTCCAAACAAGTTTGGAAAAAATAAACGCACGCGAGAGAATCTATTTAAACCAAAAAATAAACGGTCTTTGAATCTTTGAACCGAATCTATTTAAAGCAGTTCCTTTTGATTCAGCCAAAAAAAATCGATTTGAATCGAATTATACCCACCCTTAGATGGGAGGAAAGAGAAAATGGAGTAATTTACGAAAAGGATGTCTTTGGATGTAATTTTCTTCTGGCACTACTAGCGCGGTTCCGCGCTAATAGCGGGGAACTTCGATTTTGTACTTCCAAATTTTGGCTCCTTATTGTCCTTTTCCTACAAAATCAGAAGAAAATCAATTGTACGATCTCTGATTGAGATTTATCAAATTAACAGTAATTACTGCCTTTTTTATCCAGGATTAATCAAGATTTTTTCTCTTTTTGACTTAGATTCACACATATGCTGGAGGCATATCAAACAATTCCCAGATTTGAACGTTATTGTCCTCAGCAATGTAATAGATTAAAGTCAGAAGCAAAGATTAACTCTGTGAAGAAAAACATGGAACATGAACATCTTAAGAAATTAGACTGCTATGTATGTATAACTCCCTATTAAAAACTTCAAACAATGCTTTTCAGTTGTATCAAGAATTCATATCCTAACTTGAATATTCCTCACCAGATAAATATACTCTCATCACTATAGTGTTTGAGGGTTTCACACTCATTCCATCAGTGTAACAGTAATTCCATAAGCTTGAACATATTCTCAATTCCTAAGATTGAGGAACCCATTTGACATGCATAGACTGATCAAAAGCTCTTTGATAGGTTATAACTTGGCCTGGTTTGGGGGTAAGAATCTTTTGGTCAGAGGCTGATTAATTTGAGAGACTGAAATCCTGAGATTTTTGACATTACTTCCTTCTCAGTCTTTTAATTCTGCCACATTTCATCAATTTGGGATTCTTTTTCCTTTTTCACTACCTTTTTCTTTTCTTTCCTTGTTTGCAGATGTTTTCTTTCTTTTCTCTTTTGAGCTGCATGTTTGCAGACCATTCTTCTGTTTCCTTTTTCAACTTACTTAACTTTTCTTTTGAGAAGTACCTTGACTTTTTCTTTTGATCAGCATTTCAATCTCTTTCAAGGTGTATCAATGGAGAAATGGTTAAGTAACTTTCATCAGGTTTTTGAATAAATTGGTCTAAGGCTCAAAAGGGCTTAACAATGGAAAAATTCTTCTAGGTAGGCTATTTGGATCTAAGTTAACAAGAATAAACATGCCTTTATCATGTCAACAATGCATGCAAGCCAGAGAAACAATTCAAGTTCTAGAAAACTACTACAGTGAGACCTCTCTGAAAAATATTTCTATTTAGGTTCAAATCCTCACAGTTATAATTCAAACTAGAATCTAATTTCAAAATTTCACATCAAGCATTATCTAAGAATTTTCACAAAACAGTTATACAAACGAGCAGTCATCATTCTCAGATTATAAAAACAATTAAATGCTCCACAGATATCATGCTTCTTATAATTCAATCTAATTACTTACTGAGTAGGCTTTGTAAAATCTAGGAACGCTTGTTCAGGAATTCACTATGTTTTTTTTTTAATTTTTCTAAAAAAATTGAAAAATTGAATAAAAATACTTGAATTGAAAATAGCATAAATTAATAAACAAAAGGTTAAAGTATCTCCCCTTTTACGGAAATTTTTTCTCTTAGACGTCTATGTTGTGCAATTCTTCAGTTGGCAGTTATCGCATATGGTATGCGCCCAATTCCCAGATTTAGAATATTGTTGTCCTCAGCAATAAAGTAAACTAGTGAGAGAAGCTACTTCTGCGCAGGTGGAACACACACACTTGTTAAACGTCAAAAGAAATAATCATAAGACTCAATATGCAAAAGGAGACATAATCAAACCATAATCTCAAAATAACAAAATAAAGAAAAATATTAAAGTCAAGG